AAATGTACCAATAAATATATATATAAATTTAAAAAAAAAATTGTTTTAAAAGTTAATAGGTACTTCTTTTGCTGTTTAATTAGCCTTATGTAAATTGTTAACCTGAAAATGCTAACAAGGTTAAAGAAAGGTTTGAGGTTTTAAAGATCTGCTTTTAAACTTTGGAGACACCCCAAATATAAAAATATTACATATTGCCAGTGTCTCCTAAGTATATTGATAGTTAATCCCTTGTATTTATTTTTATAGATGCATGGGTATGTCCAGTTAGTGGACAGAAGCTTCTGTTTCTATGTGGTAAATAGATACTAAAGTAAATAGCACTAAACTCTCTGACTATTGTTAACAGTTGATACTCATTACTGTCACATTTATAAAAGCTGCAGGATATATAATATAGAGAAAATATTCTCTTAAGCTGATTAATACCAAAAAGTACTCTATTTTTTTAGTTCAAAAAGTTGAGGATGCTGAAGATAATGTAATAATGCTAGAAACCCTCCAAAGAGTAAATGATTGCTATTTATCCTTTGTCACTCACTTTTACTGAGTCATGAATTTTTTCCTCATTCTCTTACAATCTATGGTATTGTATTTTTAAAAATGTAATTGGAGGGCAAATCGCAGTAGCCACTTTGAGGTGTCTGTTAGTGTTTTAGGGCGTCCGTGGCAGAGTAGAAGTGCACCTTAATTCCCACTGTTCTGTAGTGACTTAAGTACCCTTAGGCCATTATGAAGGTAGACAGTGCTGTGCTCCGAAAACTTTCAGGATGAGCAAACTGTCCAGGAAGATTGCAGTCTGCTAGTGACACATAGTACTGCAGTGGAAACATGCTGGTAACTGTCAGGCATCGTTTGCTGAGGTCATTTTCCATTGTTTTCTTTGTTTTTGAGAGAAGGTCTTGCTATGTACTTCAGACTGGTCTTGAACTCACTATGTAACACAGGCTGGTCTCAAACTTGCAGCGCTCCTCCTGCCTCAGCCTCCTGAGTGCTGGGATTACAGGCACACGTCACCATGCCTGAACCCATTTTCCATTGTTTTGATTTCTGTTTTTCTTTGAGATAATTTGATTTCTTGCTGACAGCACTTGCTTTATGTGTAGTCTGGTAGATTGTGTTTCCAACTCTTGTTATAGTCAGTTTATTAAAAATGCCAAAGATGTTTGTTTTAAATTCTAAATTTTCTCTTTACTTCAGTCATTGATATCAAATTCTTATTCTCCAAAGTAGCTATCACTTGAAAAATATGTACAATCTTTAAATATAATGAGGATGAGGTTTTTAAATGTGGCAAATTTGATATTTTGGTTTTATAGAGTAGTTCTGGAATTGAACATTCAGTGAACACTTTACAAGTGTTTATTATTCCTGCCCCAAGTTAATAATATGTTTGAAATGTAAAAACATATATGACCCAACTTTACTTTTTGTTATTTTAATGCTCTCTGACTAATTCTATGTAGAAAAAAATTCCTTTCACTCTCTTAATTCTGTATAGAAATCTAAATCTATATAGAAAAGATTCTTTTCATTCAAATGATTAATATGTGACCTTTACAAAACAAACTTCTCACTCACCTGCATGACTTCCAGCATGCCAGTCATCCGCTGACCAGGTAAGAGCCAGAAGTCAGGAAATGCAACAGCAAGTAAAGTCACCGAGCTCACTGGCGTAGCACTGACAAGCTGGGGGGCGGAGAGGGAAGAGGCCAAGTAGGGCATTCGAGAGCCGTTTCATGGAGGGGAGCAGCCCTATATATCCCAGTCTTAGCCCATCCTCCTCTCACCTAGTGCCACCGCTGCTAGCATGACTCTTAAGATCATCCAGAGAGTGGTCACTAAAATTCAAGTCTCATGTGTAGTAGGCAGGAAACTCCCCTACGTAGTTTCTTACCGTGTTGTACCTTCAGACTAACCACTTGCAAGGTAAATTCATGACAGTATCGTCCTTCAGAAAACTTGAGTAACAGAACAAAACTGGGTCCTGACCATTTTGTTAAAATGAATATTAATTGTCATTTTAGAGTGGTGCTTTTGCAAAATGATGCCATTTAGTACATTTTCTATAATAATGACAGTAGGTTATCCGAAAGCTGTGCCTTAGTCTATTTAAGTTGCCACAAAAAAAAACCATAGGCTGGGCAGCTTAGGCAACAGGGCCCTTTGGCTCACAGCTGGGGAGGCAGCAGGTCCAAGGTCAGGCCGTGAGTGTGGGTGGGTTCTTTCTTCCTGGCTTGCTGATGGCCGCCTTCTCACTGTGTGCTCACCTGGCCTTTCTTCAGTGTGTGCCTGAAAAGAGGGGTGGAGGAAGCCTGCCCTTGTGCACTAATCCCACCCCAGGGGCCCTAAACTCTTGACCTTTGTTAACCCTAATTATCTCTTCCCAGAGACCCCAAATACCATCATGCTGGGGGTTAGGCCATGCACACAGGATCTGTGGAAGTAATAATGGTAACCACTCAGCCCAGAATGGGATGCTTAAAATGTTTCAGAGTTCTGGAAACCTTTTTGGAATAATGAAACTTTGAGCTGGTTGGTAATCAAGTTCAAACAAAATTAAAATTGGAATCTAATTCAGTAAAATTACTAAAGAAATTGCAATTGTCTTTTAAACTTGTGCTACAACCTGCAAATATTGTTGCTCTTGAGCTCTGTGTGTAAAATAGAACTAAAAGTATCTAATAACTGAATTGTTAGGGTTGCTGGTTGGTCTCAAATTGTCCTCCTAACTCTTTCCTTTGATGTCTATATTCCTTTCCTCAAAGCAGGAGCAACCATCAGGGTAACAGGTATCTGACTATTTATCAATCTTACATGTGCTTTTCATCCATCGTAGCACATTAGATGTATGGATCTTTTGACTCATACATCTAAAGTTTCACCCATTTTTAAAACCACCTGTCCACATTAATAAGTTAAACTATCATACCATAAAACCTACATTTTCTTTTTCTTAGTATTTTGGATTTTTAGGAATCATTTTGGTTGGTCTTGCTAATGCTTTACCATTTTTTGCTTCATTTTTTAATGAAAATTAACAAAACTAAACAGTATAACTTCAAGAAGGTAAGCTTTAGGTATATAAAAGCCTAATTAGCAAAACCAAATTGGTTTGCATAATTACTTGAATACAAAGATTTTTTTTTCTTAGCTTTATTTTGGGAAGCATTTTTTTCCAAAGAGTTTTAGTACCAAGATTCTTTTCAATAAGGAAGAATTGGTGATTTAGAAAGATGAAAGTCAGTATAATAGCAAGATTATTTAAGTGTCCTTCCAACACCTTTCTTGGCAAAAATACCAGCAATTTTAATGTTGTCTTCCCAAATCCTTCTTAGATTATAAATTAATTCTAATGTGTTGAATGATGGTGTGGCTGTCCCTGAAATTTCAAGTCTGATTGGAAAAAAAAGATCCTGCTCCTATCAAATTACCTTTAACTTATTTTAAAATAAAAATGATATATGAAAATAAAGATACTTAAATTTATAGCATTTATGTGGCCAGTGCCTACAATTCTAAGCTGTGAGGAGTGGAAACTTTTCCTTTCTTACAATATCTGTGTTGTAGACTGTGCTATCTGCCATAGAATTTTGTCCTGGACCCAACCAGATATTTCCATTTTGTACTATTAGTCATCAGTAATCCAGGGATTATTGGTAATATAGAGTAATTATAATTTTATAATGACTATAATAAATTTTCAAGTCAAGTTCATTTATATGTATATAAATATATATATATGCTTACTTTTAGTGCACTATTAGAATGCACTTGAGAGTCCCATGACCCCTTAGTTTGCAACTGATTTATTGTCATGTCAAGTTTGAAAAAAATGCTCGTCCATTCAGTTATAAACTATGTTCTAGGACTATGAAAATTAACAGAACAAATGGTATAACTTCAAAAAGGTATGCAGGTACTTGAACCTCACTTATGAGGCTGTCCATACCATATTCTTTTTCAAGTGAATGGCCTTCTCTGTTATTAAGCACTGAGTTGGTATCATAATGTGCAATTACATTTTATAAAGCCTCTGATTTTTTTCTCCATATTTCATGAGATAGTTAATTTGCTTAGTGCTCTGTTTTACCCTGCAGATCTTGAAGCTAAAATTCTCCCTTCCCAGTCCTTTCCAACCCAAAAGTTTTGCTTTTCTCTTTGCAGTTGGCATGAGTGTCCAGGTTATTTACCCCAGCTTAGGAATTACATAGTCTTTGTTTTGTTTTGTTTTGCTTTTGCTTTTGAAAATTATTGAAATGCCTGATGAACTAATTTGCTCCCAGGGCCAGAATCTTACTTCTTTTCCCCAGCAGTCCCATGACTGGCCTCCACCCAACCAGCTCTTTTGTGAACAGGCATAAAGGGATTTAGGGAAAGAGTGCAAACTTTGCATGACCATAAAACAGTTCTGAACCCTTCCTTCTGTTATCTGTTTATGGCACCACTTGGGGCACAGCTGTGTTTTCATATACTAAATAGAAAATAGATTTTTTCCCCTGGTTTTAAACTGTCATTGTATTTGGTTATTAATAGCATACCTACTTTGGAATTTAACAAGATAGGGAAGGTCAGTTAAGGAAAGTTATCACATTATTCACTGTTTATCCTTCAAAGGAGAACTTATATTAAAAGATAACTGGGCTGGGGATTTAGCTCAGAGGTTCTGCCGCCTGCCTCACAAGTGTAAGGTCCTGAGTTCAATCCCCGGTACCAAAAAAAAAAGAAAGAAAAGATAACTGAAAATTTACTTTTCCGTTTAGAAAGGGAAAGGATACCTCTACAGCTTATGAATACTAATATACTAATAAAATTGAATTAAAATTGAATGCCTATAGTAACAATTTTAACTGAAAATATATTTAAAAGAACAATGCAGCCACATCATCCTAATAGATAGGTGTTGGAAGCTTATTATACAGATTTAGTGTAAGTCCTGACTACAAGTTTAAGTGTATGTTAAAATTTGAAAGAATTGGGCATGGACGAATTTGTTAATTCTGTGCAATTCTCCTACTATTTCAAAACTTGAATGAATGAAGTAAATATTTTCAAATTTCTTTGAGATTTAAAATGTGTGGATTCAGTAAAAGAACTTAGTAGTTTTTAAAGAGTAAGATTTTAGCTGTTTGACTCTACTTCTGTCACCAGAGTAACAACCTACACAAAACTACTTCTCAATTTCTAAATTTGTACTTGCCCAAAAAAAGGAAGAGTAATTCAGATAGGAAGAATAGAGAATATTAAGAAATATAAACAGTTTGTTCAGTGTTCTCTTTCCTTTCCAGGTAAAAACAAATGGAGTCTCAAGTGTCAAACAAGAATCACTATTAAAGAGTGACCCATTCGAAGATCTGTCATTTAATCTGCTTGCTGTATCAAAGGCTCAGCTATCTGTCCAGACGTCACCTGTTCTAACCCCAGACCCAGAGAGGTTGATTCAGTTGCCTCCTGCAACGCAAAGTACTGTTAATACTTGGAGTTCTGTAAGCTGCATGCCAACCATGCCTCCAATTCCAGCCCGGAGCCAGGAAAATACGCGAAGTTCTCCGAACCCATTTATTACTAGCTTGACCAGCACAAATCCTTTCACCGACAGGACTGCTGTTCCTGGAAATCCATTTAGAGCCCAGTCTCAAGAATCAGAGGCAACTTCCTGGCTCTCCAAAGAAGAGCCTATTACAAACAGTCCTGTCCCTTCACTGATGCCTCTCCGCCAGAACTCAAGCAAGCCTTCATCTTCACTCGATTGTTTTAAGGACAGTTTTGATCTGCAGGGCCAGTCTACAGTGAAAACAAGCAATCCAAAAGGATGGGTAACCTTCGAGGAAGAAGAAGACTTTGGTGTAAAAGGGAAGTCAAAGTCATTTTGTCCAAACGCACTGGGAAATCAACCAAATGCATTTGATGATGACTGGAACAAAGGTGCAGATGTTTCTTTGTGTGTGTTGCCATCCAGAAGACCTCCTCCTCCTCCTGTCCCTCTGCTCCCACCCAGTGCCAGCCCTGCCACCGACCCCTTCACCACCTTGGCATCTAAGGCATCGCCCACACAGGACTTTACAGAAAGATGATGTTCTAGAAAGGGGGAAAGCTTGTTTATTTTTGTTTGTTTGTTTGTTCGTTGTTTAGTTTTGGCAGGGTAGAGCCAAAAGAATTGGGCATTAGTTCCTTATGTGCAATAAATAATTGTTAAGTGCACTGATACCTTCATAAGATACCACTATTTGATGTGAATAGAGTTGGAATATGTGTATATTGGAAATGAGGAAAAATCCTTCTGATTATTAACTGGAATTTTGGTGTGTTTCTCTTCAGATGAGTAGGAGATAGGAGTAGCCATGAAAAGTGCTTAAAACTACCTTAGAAAGTCGTCCTAGGGCGGGGATTTAGCTCAGTGGTTCTGCTGCCTGTCTTGCAAGTGGAAGCATCCGAGTTCAATCCCCGGTACCAAAAAAAAAAAAGAAAGTAAGCCGTCCTTATTCAGAAATTCCTTGTCAGGGGCTGGGGATTTAGCTCAGTGGTTTCGCCACCTGCTGCGCAAGTGCAAGGACCTGAGTTCGATCCCCGGTACCAAAAAAAAGAAAAAAGAAATTCCATGTCAGTCTGAAGAATCTTCCACACAACTTTTAGCTGACATTACTGCCAGTTCTTGCGCACTGTTGACAGTTGTTATTCATATTTACCAAAGAGCTGCCAAAGTTACAGTGAAACAGTTTTGAAAGGCATTGCTTTAACAAAAAAGTTAATACGTGTGTGTGCATATTATCCATGCACACATACACATACATTTGCATATTTACAAAACTCTGAATTTCTAAGGATATGGCTCAGACCAGATTTTTTACTTACAAGTTCTAACAAAGACCTTTTTCAGTATCTCATTGCCAAAAAGATGGCTACATGTATGATTTGGAATATTTTGTTAATTTTATTTCCAAAACCAAAATAATCTCTCTAAACAAGCAGAATTCTCTACTGTTCCACACCCCAGCCCTTTAAGCACACAGACCCTTGGTACCTTCTACTCCAGGGCCTCCACATGCTTCCCCTGGGAGGGGGTTCTTGCAGCTGGAGCAGTGTATTTTGTGGTCACTGTCATGTGGATAGATGCTCTAGTCCCCTTGAAAAAGTGCTGTGGCCTTAGATGTAGGGAAGGCACATACCACCGAGTTCAGTGAGAAGTGTTAGAGCTAAACATGGTCTCTTCTTTCTGCACATTTAAGGGATATGTTAGCCATTTCCTTCCCATGCTTTTCTCTTTGCTGCTTGTGCTCTGGAACTTTGCTTTTAGCAGGGAAAGCAGCCATCCCCAGAGTGCTTCAGATCAGGGACATGCCTGGTGTGGTCTCTTCTCCCCAAGAGGCTCCACAGCACATCTCTGATGCTGCTTTAAGTGTTTAGAGGGTATACCTCAAATTACCTGTGGATTTTGTCTCCTGCACTGCCAGTATGCAACTGATCCTGCTTTTATTAATTTTATGAAGTACACAGAATTTTTACAGAGTGTAGTATTTTGATATTATGTCAACCAATCAGAAAACCCCTTGAGCAATAGTTGTTTTGTTGTCAGTTTAAGTTAAAATCATCTCTACCCATTAAGACTTATATTAACATTCCTTTTATATATATATAAAGAGTTGTATATGTCCACTTAAATTCCTAGGTCCACAGTTAGCCTTTAAAGATGCACATTGGGAGAATATTAAAAAGTAGAGTTTATGGCTAAGAGTATGTGAAGTGTAAAAGCACAGCAAACTGCATTGCACTCAAAGCAAAACTGTTAGGAAAAAGCACTTTTCTAAATGCTCAAATGTTATCAAAATACTATATTTATAGAAGCAATCCTCTGTTAACAGCCAGAATTCGCTGTTAGAGATAACTAGTGAGTTTTATATTGTGCTTTTGGGGGGGGGGTTCTAGTTATTTTGGCAGTAGTATCTTTTAAGCACTGTGCTTCAAAATGTGAATTAACTTGTTGAAACTGTGGCTTTTAACACCTATGTGATTGGTGTATATGGTATTTGCTTTCCATTTGCAAAATAATTCATTGTTAGGTTAACTTCACTAGTGCCAATTGCAGTTCTGTGAGCAGTGTTTCCTAATGAGTATAAACTACTGTCTAAAATATACATATCAGCAGCAGCTCAGCCTTTGTCAGGAGAATTATATTTGGCAAGGTGCTGAAAATGCACAAAGTTATGAAAGTTAAAGGTAGGCTGCAAATAACTATCCATTATTCTGTGTATTATTAAATATTTACCAGTTCTGTTCAAAGCAGAGCAGAAATTAGACACTAAGGATCTCTTTGTGAATTCTATGTCCTTGATAGTAGATTGCTGTTTATATGTATGTAAGAATTTTATTGCTTCTGTGGCATATAATATATATAACTATATACTTTATAGAAGTACAGTATTAAAATCAGTGGTATACATTCTGTACATATCCTGTGAAATGTGCTGTCACATGAAATAAATACATCTGTCTTTGCCATGCCGACTACGTTGCTCAAAAGGGAAGTTTTTCTCAGCCATTTTCGTTGAACTTGCCACATACAAGTTTAGTGGTATTTGGGGAAAATAAGTTAGGTCCTATTTTGCCAAGTCAGATATTTTAACTCAAAACCTTATTTTCCTATAATCATTTCTCCACATAATGTTTACTGTAAGAAGACATTTTCTGAGATTACTAATGGTCAACAAGAAGCCCATGCACTTACTCCATAGGAGAGCCCCTCTTTAGAAATCTTGTTAGCTTGGAAATAACACGTGAAGCATGAATGGTGATTTTCTGACCCACAGCAGAAAAAACAACTGGGAGGCAGAGGGGAATTAGGACACTGACAGCCAGACAAAAAAATTAAACTGGCCCAAAAGACCCAAATTAAGAGATCATGGCAGGTAGCTTCTGGAAGTATTTACCTTTATACAGTCCTTTTTGGTTGATATTCAAAACAATAACTTTGGCTCCTAGTTTTAATTGTTCATTAACCTTTAAGTCAGATACAGAACGCTAGACTTAAAAAAAAAAACTTTTTGGGCCGGGGATTTAGCTCAGTGGTTTCACCGCCTGCTGCGCAAGCGCAAGGACCTGAGTTCAATCCCCGGTACCAAAAAAAAAAACTTTTCAAGGTAACTGTAGAGTTAGTTATATGTAGTTGGAAGGGGGAAGTTGTAATGAGAGAGCCTGTGTGCCTTTACTCATCGCACAGGTGTAGTGCAGTAGCACAGCAGGGGACTGACCCTGACGATAAGGAACATTTCTGTCTCTCCTGGGATCCCACTGCCATTACATCCCAACACAGCCTCTCCTCTGACTTCAGCCTCCACCAGCCGTTAATCTGCTTTCTGTTTCTGTAACTTCCTCACCTCACAAATGTAATATAAATGGGGCTAGAGGTGTAGCTCTGAGGAAGAGTGCTTGCCTAGCATACTGGAGGCCCTTGGTTCAATGCTCAACACTACAGCTAAGTTACAAAATGATACAGTGAGACACCACTTATACAAAACTTAAAATATGCAAAACAATATATCTTTAGGGATGTATATATACATTAATGGTACAAAAACATGCAATGGAAATGATAAACACCAAATTCAGAAGAGCAGTTTATTTCTGAGGAAGGGGCAGAAGAGAACAGGATTAGAGGGGTTTACAGGAGGTTTAATGGTCTGTAGTATATTAGGACAAAACAGCAACAAAGTGGCTAATACACAAAAGTTGCTTTCCTTCCCCTGGCCACCTGACATCCAGCAGCCACCATTCTGAGTTATCCAGACCTAGCCCAGTGTGGTGCTGCACGCCTGTTACCCTAGCACTGACATGGGAAAAATAACTCCCAACCTGTTTCATGTCAGATGCCATGAAGGAATCCAGGTGCCACCATCCTGATCAGAGACCCCTCTAAGCCCCCACACAGCTGCACCTGGGGACTCATAGCGTGATCCGCTCTGCCATTAATAGGAGCCACCTTCCCAAGCCCAGCCCTTCGGCAGCCATTACCGCTGTGCTCTCTCAAGTCTTGTTCTTAGTGGGAAGCCACAACCCCTCTCACCGAGCACCCCCCTCCTCATGACCCTACAAAAGACCCCGTATCCTGTAGGAGAGTTGCTGGTCTGGTCTTTAGTGCCAGAGCCATCCCTCTCAGGTTTCTTCTGAAATAAACCTGTCGAATTGAGCTGGTACCTCTGTGTCTTTTCCTTTTTCCTAACGTGGTGAGTTTGTGGTCTTACAACATGGAGGGAAGAAGTTGCAAACCAAAGGAGGAAGTGATGAGAGTTTTATTAAGGAGAAGAATAGCTCCTGGATTTCCAGGAGGGGTCCCAGTGGGTGGCTACAAAGGTCCTTTGTCAGGGGTAATTTATACAGCAAAATCACAACATGGGTACAACGTGGGTCAGACTACAATCACAACCTATAGGATTGTGAGTATAGTAAAACCATGTTTCGCAAGCATAATTCGTTCCAGAAACATGCTTGTAATCCAAAGCACTTGTATATCAGAGCAAATTGCCCCATAAGAAATAATGGAAACTCAGATGATTCGTTCCACAACCCAAAAATATTCATATAAAAATGATTATAATACTGTTACATAATACAAAATAAAGAAAAACAAATTATCTTTCACTTACTTTTGAAAACTCTTGTGGCTGTGAAATGAGAAAAAAAAAAAAAGACAAAGCAGAGACTGATAATCTCAAAGCTTGGCAGAGACTGAAGGTCTCAAGGCTGTTGGTCTCAACGCTTGACCCCTCCTGTCTCAAAGCTTGCCCCTCCTGCTAAACCCACTAAAGTCACTGTGCCCGAAAGATGAACTGCAGACACAGCTGCCTGTACTTTCCTATGTCTTAAAGATAAACTGTAAAAGCAACATTTGCCCCTACCCCTGTGCTAAGTTCTGCTTCTGTAACATTCTGCTTGCTTCCCCATCCTGCCTAAAGAACAAGATAAAAATGAAACCAGAATCAGGGTCCAGGCTCTGGAAGGTGACTTCCACTGAGCCCCCTAGGGAATAAACTTGCCTTTCCCTTCAGCTCTCTGGGTGCTGCTCTCTTCAGGTCTGCCTGCCCTCTGAGTGCTGTAACAGCTGGTGTGAGGGAGACAAGAGAGAAGGGGTATTGTATACAATGACTTTCCCTCTCCTAAGAGATTCACTGCTCTCTATTGGCTGCATGGAATCTTTTTCTTTTTGTGCAACTTTAGCAAGGAACCTATCCAATGTCACTTACTTTTGTCTCCTTTTGAGGATTTCATGGAAATATGACATTGCCTTGTCATGAAACAGATTTCACTGCTCACACTGCTACAGCTTTATTCAGGTGGTGCTTTTCTACAAAGTTATGCACTGTTTCCCACATTTTACACATCACTCTAATTTCATTTGAAGTGAGGGATTCGTCTACCTTTTTCTCCTCTGCAAACAAGATCTCCATAACCTCTTGCTGTTGGGAGATGATCACCCACAATCCCGGGGAGAGAGAGAGAGGGAGGGAGGGAGAGAGAGAGAGAGAGAGAGAGGGAGTTGTGAGCAAGTGATGTTTGCCATTACATACTACTGGTATTCCAAGACATTGCTCATTTACCATGTTAAAGTTTATTAGAAATGCTTGTCTTATGGAACACTCACTGAACATGTTACTTGCAATCCAAGGTTTTACTGTAAAGTCGCTTAGCTAAGACAATATTGGCCCAACAGGGAAATCCGTCACATAGCAGGGGTATATGGAAAGAACAAAGGCATTCCTAGAAAGGGATGGATCCAGATGTTCTGGTCTCCCACCTGTGTGTCTGATGCTTGTCCGGGCCCACTGGACCAGGTGGTGTTAGAGTATAATCTCAAGTTGCTGTTTATCTCTAGGGAAGCACACAGGCCTGGCTACTGCATCTCCATCTTGAGGCCTAGCTTTCCCCAGCATCAATCATTGTGTGTCTCGTCCTCTGTGTTGACTTTCTTGAGCAGCCAATCCTTCTCAACTGCATATTCTTTTCGATCTAACTTAGCTGTCTATAATAGTACCACAAAAAAGTATTATCTAGATCAGCAAGGTCATTGTTGACGGACTGCTTGAACAAATAGATGAAAATGGTCCTGATTTGCCCTAGAAAGGCAAGTACCTAAAATACTGAGAGCAAACTAGCCACGATGCACAAGAATGCACCAAAGGTTATCTCTGTGGCCTTGGAATTCAGAGCTCACTTGGCTAGCAGGGTGTGCCACATTATAGCTGGAGCTCTGGCTAGCCTTGTGATGGCCTAAGCTCACAAAGTGTTAGTTAAACTATTCAGTTTTTATGTATTTTGCAGTAGCTGAGGTCAGTTACACACGGGGGGAGTCTAATAAGGTTTGTGTAACATTCCCCAGGGGAGGGGGAGTTTAGTCCAAGTTCTCACATATGGGATCTAATAAGATATCCACTTTTTCTATTGTTGTTTTGGTTTTTAGAGACAGTCTCCCTTTGTAGTTAGGGCTGGTCTCTAACTCAAAATGTAGCCCCGGCTGTCCACGAAATGGAGGCTATCCTCGTGCCTCAGCCTCCCAAGTGCTGGGACTGGCGCGTGCCCACCAGGCCCGGCGTGTCCATTTATTTTTGTTTCCTTTGTCACATTGAGAGTCACGCTGGACCCCACTTACCCTTAAGGTAAGAATTTGTGGGAAGGTACCTACCTGAACACTTTGTGAAAGGTCACTTTGGCAGCAGCTACTTGAGCTATCCTAAATGTGCGAATTTGACTCAGCCTGGACAAATAAGTACTGGCCCTTGCCCTATCCCCTGGATCCCGAAAACCAGACCAGCGATTACAGGGGGGAACTGCGGGCGATGCGTCCTTCTCGCCAGCTGCAAATTTCCCCAGGCCGGAAGCAGTGAAGAGGCGTTTCCGGAAGTGGAAGCCAGGAGCGACGGAAGCCACCGCTAGACTTTGGGGTTGCAGAGAGGAGGGTGTTGAAGAACTTGGTTCCTTTGGTCCCCACTACCCCATTCATTCCCGACCTAGCAACCCCGGCCTCAATTCGCCATCTCCCTGGGTGGAATCTCGGGCCCGAGGAGACTCTATTGAGACTCTCTACGCCCCGCGGCGTAGTCCGTGTTTGAGTTGCCCAGACAACAGCCACTTCCGGGAGCGGATTGTTCTTAAGCCGCAGTTAAGTGCGAGTGGCTGGCTGAGTGCTTCAGCTTTCCCACCCTGGGATTTTTGACCTGAGCTGGCAGCCCTTTTGACGCTGAACTGTTGTCCTGGTAACCGCCACTTCCGGGAGCGAGCGCCGTTTTCTCCCGGCTCCGCGGGCGCGCACCCCCGGGTTCCAGCCTGTAGCGGCGGTTGGTCGGTAGCCGCTGTTCGCTGTTGGGGCTGCCCGTGGCGGAGCCTGCAGTCCGCGTGTCGCGGTCCTTTTGGACGCTCGACGGGGCCTCCGCCATGGTTCTGCTACACGTGAAGCGGGGTGACGAGAGCCAGTTCTTGCTGCAGGCGCTGGGCAGCACCGAGCTGGAGGAGCTGACGGTGCAGGTGACCCGGGTCTACAACGGGCGGCTCAAGGTGCAGCGGCTCTGCTCAGGTGCAGCCAGGGGGTTCTAAGAAACCGGGCGATCTGCGGGGGGAGGTCGGGCAGGACCTACAAGGATGTCGGGCTGGGGGCGAGGTCCCAAGTTTATGAAGATTTGAAAAGACTGGCAGCAGGTGAGGGTGAAATGGGGCCCTAAGGCTAACCAGGGATTCCTTAAAAATCGAAAAAGTAGTAACGATCTGGCACCCCCCAGCTTGGAGGTGGACAGCAGGTGAGGTCGAGAGTGCCCAAGGGTCTGAAGCCAGGATTTTGGGTGCCGTGAATAAGTGGGAGTAAGAAGAGCCAAAAGGCTGGGCTGAAGGGCAGGTGTAGTGGACTTGACCAGGTGTGTGTTTGTGGGGGGGTGGGGTTGGAGTGATGCCTGGGTGGGTTTGCAAAAGGTGAATGGCCTATGTTGAGGCTTCTAGGGTAAAATGGCTTCCAGGGGTGAGCCCTAGTTTAGGGAGGAGGCCTTCAACGGTGAGAAGCCTGTGAGAACGCCTTGGCGTCCTTTTCCGTCTCCTTGGTTACACAAGCCCATTTTCCTATTACAGCGTTTGTTCACCCACCTCCGAATACTCCCTAGAGCACCGCTGGCCAGTAGAATGGACATGTACAGTTGGTATCCACTAGGAGCATGTGGCTGCCGAGCTCTTGAAATGTGGCTAGTGCGACCCAGGAATTGAATTTTTAGTTCTATTTCATTTTAATTAAGTTTTAAAAGTCACATGTGAACAGTTAATGGCGGCATTTGAGAGCACAGCTGTAGAACTCATCGTGATTGTCCAGGTGTGGACTAGGGTATTACTACTATTATGTGCCTCTATGACTATGTAGGATATATAATCACTGTATAAATGTATGCCTATGCACTATTAATATGGAATATCTCAAAGAGAAGGCTCTTAGGACTTTTTTTCTAATTCAACGTGCTTTGGTTTTTTGGAGTTTTTAACTTTTAAAAACATTTTATTAGTATATGTTTGCAGTACCTAGTGTATACATTATTTTGGGGAGCTGTTACATGTACATAACATCTATTGAAGTGCATAAATGTGGGTTTTACACCTCCTAAGGGTCATGGCCTGTTCATGAACCATATGTGACTACTTCATAGATAATTTACATAAATTGGTGGGGAGAGCTTATCAAAAATAAAAGAGACAGGACAAGGGGTTTCACTTTCTTTTTCCTTTTTTTTTTCCGGTACCGGGAATTGAACCCAGGGCCTTGCACTTGCCAGGCAAGCACTGTACCACTGAGCTATACTCCCAGCCCTTTGGACCTTCATTTTCTAGGATCATGCTCGCTACGCAAATGCATGTCTTTATATTTTTCCTAAGCCACATATATTCACCCCCAAACCAGGCTATGTTGAAACCTTGCAAAACTGCTAGCTTTCCTCTCTCCCTCTTCCTTTCCTCACTGTGAAGGAGGATCCAGCTGTCTTCACGGCACTGTGGAGATACATTGATACTGCTCCGATACAACATTATGAAATAGGTGGTGTAACTTGAGTTAGATGCTTAGAGAGGCATCTCTCCTAGTTCAGATTTTTTAAACAACTGGGGGACAAGGGGCTGGACTCATTCCGCTTTGTCTTCCTAAGGGAGGGCACAGATGCCTGCCTGAGTCACCCCGGCCACAGGCAACTATAGCAGAAAGCAGTGGGTTCTAACCTCACCAGCATCACTCTTCCTTCGGCTCCACACTTTCACTTTATAGAATAGGTTGCTCAGTTCATTTTCTCCTCAAATGCTTCTATTTTAAAATAACCTTTCATATTGAGGCAGTTTTGGAAACAGTACAGTAAGCTTAAGAAATTATACATAACCTGACTTTAATCTTTCCCACTGATTTATATAATTTATGAAATCACATGAATGAAGTTCATGAAGTAGCCACATAAATTGAGTTTCACATAAACTATTGACCTTGTGATCTGACCAAGCCTCAGATGATAAAACTGTCAGTTAAGGAAAGTGATTCTGTTGGTAACTGTCCTGCCTGCCTCACAAGGTGGCATTAAATGAAATCATCTGCGTGAACCCCCTTGGAAACACTGCATTAGTATGTATTTAGTTTTGGGGATTAATTTTGCACCTCCCGAATTCCAGGCAGCACAGCATAACACAAAGGCTTAAAACAGACTCTGACCCCAGACTGCCTGGGACTGGGGCAAGTTCCTAAGCTCTCTGTGCTTCTGTTGGCTGAGGATGGATTGGTGACTTTGTCAAGGGTCAGAGGCAGATCTGGCACATAGCTGGTGATGTGTGAGTTAAATAAAGTGGTGAGTCGGATGGGCCAGGCCCCTGACTCTCAGGAGCTTGCGTTCTGCTGGGTTCTAAGGTGTTGATTGTGATATGTATTATGTAATAACTTTCCCTTGTTTTTAAGAAATGGAAGAATTAGCAGAGCATGGCATCTTTCTCCCTCCTAATATGCAAGGACTGACTGATGAGCAGATCGAAGAGCTGAAATTAAAAGATGAATGGGGCGAAAGATGTGTACCCAGTGGGGGCGCAGTATTTAAAAAGGATGACATTGGACGAAGGAATGGCCAAGGTAATCAAGCATTTCTCTTATGTGCATGCCTGAGCGTACCAAGAGTATGAAGCAGTTCTCTAAGTTAAAAAACTAACCAGCATTTCTGTACAAACTTGAGAAACACTGTACTGTGTAACTCTAATCCAGAATGAATTAGATGGATAAGGAAGAGGCTGCCTTCTTGCTCTAAGTTGCAGTTAGCGTATACGTGTATGAGATGAACCATATAAAATTACTATATCTAGAGCCAGGGATGTAGCTGAGTGGTGCCCTGCCTGCCTGGCAAGCACAAGGTCCTAAGTTTGATCCTGGTACCAAAAAAAAATAGAAAGAAAGAAAAGAAAAATTATCATATCTATAGGTTAAAAATGTCTGAGTCTGGCAACTTTTTATGGCTTGATCTGACAGGTTTGCCTCTCTCTGGTGCAAAGTACTTGAGTACAAGGTAGATCACTTAACATACACATATTTAATCATGTAACAAACACCCAAATATCTACCGTGTCCCTAAAACAGGAATCGAAGAAATACAAAACAGTATTACATCAAGGACTTTATGTGCCTATATATATATATATATTTTTTTTTAAATATTGAGGATAATAGGAATTACTAGTATTATTTCCTTTGAATTTTAACCTGGAAAATGTTAGATTGTCTTCCACATATTTTTATGCCTCAACTCATTCTCATTCTGAAGAGATTCTCTGCTTTTTAGGAGGGATTACATCCATTTTTTAAAAATCTTACAAATCAGCCATTCATTACTCATCTTTAAACCAGTGTTCTTAAATTGACCATTTCTATTCTAATATAATTTCAATTAATACTATTGTTTACTGAGAATATATGGTTTGAACTTGCCTCATTTTTCCTAGATTTGAGAATGTTATCTCCATTGTTTTTGCTTCTGAACTTTCAAGTCATGGTATTTTTCTCCTTGTGTAGGGAGCAGGAAATTAATGAGTCCTATGTCAAATTCAACCAGTTGCCTGTGTTTGTAAATAAAGTTTTATTGGAGTGCAGCCACCTCGTTCATTTAAGTATAGCCTATGACTGCTTTTGAGCTACTGTGGCAGAGTTGAGTAGCCTGGGAAGCCTAAAATATTTACTCTCTGGCTCTTTGCAGGAAAAGTTTGCTGACTCCATCTATCCAGGAACATGTACTCCTGTCCTCTGCCACTTTGCATAAAGCTCATGCCAGACCTCGGCTCTTGTACGGGATCTCTCTTGTACAGGATCTTTACTTAACTTCCCATCGCCAGGTTTCTTGCAGCCCTGTCCTAAATTCCAGACTACACACCCTCTCAGTTCACATATTCCCAGACGCAGAAGGGCATCAGAGTCAGAGAACTTTCAAAGAGGCTGTCTTTGAAGACTTCTCTCTCCCTCTCTTCTTTTTTATTTTTATAGCTCCAAATGAAAAAATGAAGCAAGTTATAAAGAAGACTATAGAAGAAGCCAAAGCAATAATATCTAAGGTCAGCTTTTGAAAATGTTGCTCTTGAAAGTTTGTCTTTTAAAATACTAAATTGTGTTGTAAGGACCCGAGTTCGATCCCCAGTACCCAAAAAAAAAAAAAAAAAACTAAACTAAATTGTGGCTTTCAAAGTTAATTGTCAACCAGCCTTTTTTCCTTTTCCTTTTCCTTTTTCTTTTTCCTTCTCTCTCTTGCCTTCCAGAGGCAAAAGAAAAGACCATGTATGGCGAGGACCCTGGCTTTCCTTCTATGATAGTTCTCTAGAATTATCCTTGTTCCTACCAAGCAGACAAAAGTCTCTGTTGGCTTGTGCAAATGTAGGTTGGTATTACAGATGTCTTTACAAGATGTGATTGAAAATATGGTGAATACTGGGCCGGAGATTTAGCTCAGTGGTTTCGCTGCCTGCCGCCCAAGCATAAGGACCCGAGTTTGATCCCTGGTACCAAAAAAAAAAAAAAATGATGAATGCAGGCAGGGGATTTAGCTCGGTGGATCTGTCGCCTGCCTTGCAAGTGCAAGGTCCTGAGTTCGATCTCCCCTACCAAAAAAAAAATATGGTGAATGCTGTTGCCATTTGCCATCCAATGTAAAGGCAGCCCCATAAAAAAATTATGCTGTTCACCTTATTATCCTTGTTCACCTTATTCACTGGATCTGGCACTGTGTGACTGCTGGCTCTACCCAAAGTCAAAATGACCATGAAAAGGAAGCATTTTGAATTGATTTGAAATATTCAGGCAGCCATAACAGCACAACTAAAGATATGAAAGAAGACTACTTCAGAAAGTAACAAGGATGATGGGATGAGTGTGTTCAAAGTGAGGAAATGTATTTTGAGGAGGATTTATGGAAATGTGTCTTTTATTGTGATTCTTTTTTAATGCAAACATTCACTGCATTTTTGATCACATCTCAAATTTTTTTGTAAATCATCTTAAGTAGTTATATAAAAAGTATTTCACAGAAGAGGAAATATAAATGATATCATTGATATGTGTATAAGTGCATGCAGAGGAAGATAACTTAAGGATATTTAAAGAATCGATATTTTTACCTGTTAGATTTATTTATGGGTGGACAGTATTAGTTGCTAGCGGCCTCCTTTGCAAGTCTTCCGGGTATAACTACTGTTGCTGTATTCCTCCTGATTCATTTGGCAAAACTGTTACTTCTAAACTTTCCCCAGACTCTTAAGTTCTTAATTAATGTGTGTAGAGCACTAGGAAAAGAACTCAGTGCCATCCAGTGTTTGCCAAATGTATTTGGCCAAAAAGCCTTTTTAGAGAAAGTATTCATAGTAACTGCCAGCCTCTCTGCCATCAGCACATCTCACGGCATGGTGTGAAACCAGTGGTCTGGACGTGGCTCTGCCCTCTGCTCCATGCATTTTTTCTGTAGTATTTCTTCCTGCCCCTTTGTGTCTCTTCTTCCCTTTGCCTGTGTGTTCATCAAGGTACTTTATCCTTGGCCCTCTTTCTCCCTCAGCATTTTCTATCCTTTTGCAACTGCTGATTCCACCCCTCTGCAAGGGTGACTCTCAAACTTCTATCCTGTACCCCTGAGGTCTTCCCTAACTGCAGCCCAGATGTCCAGCTAGTTCTGAGATGCTCCTAACCTGGATGTCTGCCTGCACACAAAACTCAAGTTCTCTAGACCTGAAATCATGTTTTCTTAACTCCTCTCTGTCTGTACTCTGTGTCTAAGAATAAGCATGTCCTATAAGCTCTTCTGTTTCTATTAACAGAACCACCAGGGGCTTGGTCATACAGGGCACGATCCTATGCCACCTTCAGCACTTCCCTGTCACCTGTAAGTCCAGTCCTCTACTGCCTATTCCCAGGAGGCCTGTTAAGCCCACCTCCTCCTTTCATTTTCACAACCACCATTTTGTTTAAAGCTCCCCCAGTAGTCTTTTGCATTCCAACCCCAACAGTTGTCCTGTAGTTCCATTCAGTTCTGACCCCAATGAGCCATAGTTAGCAAAGGCTCCACAAGTGAAGGGCAAAGCTCTTCACTTCTGTCACTCAGCTACCTGGAGTTACTATCACATCCCACAGTTAGAGGGCGAAATCACCAGCAAGACAACCCCTAACTTCAGGCGGCAGCTCCAAGTAGGATCTCCAGGCTGCCCACACTTCTGTCTAACATGGCCACAAATTTAGGACTCCTTGTGCCTCCTCTCTAATTTAGTAGTTTATTAGAATGACTAATAGAAAGTGCTATACTCAAGACTGTAGTTTTATTATAAAGGATGCAGTTGTGGAACAGCCAAGTGGAAGAGGGAGGTGCATGGGCTAAGGTAGGGGGAGAAGAGGATACAGTGCTCCTGCCTTCTCCTTGGAATCCCCATGTGCCACTCAGCAGGAGCCTCCACTGACCCTTTGCACCTAGAATTCATTCAACATTTTGTTGCATAGGTGTAATTAAATTATTGGCCACATTGAGCTTAATCTTAGTGTTCTCCCCTCCGTGGAGGTTGAAGGTGAGTGAGGCTGGAAGTTTCAACCCTCTTACCATGTCCTTGGTTTTTCTGGCATGGCCAGTCTTTGCCTTGAAACTGTCTGTAATAGTCCTTTATTTTTTTGATACGGGGGATCGAACTCGGGTCCTTGCACTTGGGCAGCAGGCGGCAAAACCACTGAGCTAAATCCCTGGCCCTGATAGTCCATTTTGTGTTGCTGTAACAAAACACCTGCAGCAGGTTACTTTATAAAGAGAAGAGATTTATTTAACTCAATGTATTTGGAAGCTGAAAGTCCAAGATCCGTGGTTCCACCTGTTTGACCTGTGCTAAAAACGCCCCAGGGTGCATCACAGTGTGGCAGAGAAGAGTGCCCAGGGGCCGTTCCAGGGGGGTAGCCTCGCCTTGTGTCAGCCCACTCTCCCAAGGGCCAGTCGGTGTCCCACAAGAAGTACATGCATCCCTGCCAAGCATGGCACTCCAAGACTTCATCACCTTCTCCTCGGCCCACTCTGAAAGGTTCTCCAACCTTTTTTTTTTGGTACCAGAGATCGAACTCGGGACCTTGCAATTGCGAGGCAGGCAGCGGAACTGCTGAGCTAAATCCCTGGCCCTCCCACCTTTTTTTTTTTTTGGTACCAGGGATCAGCAAGGCAGGCGCTGAAACCACTGAGCTAAATCCCCAGCCCTCTCCCACCTCTTAACATTGCCCCACCATGGACCAAGTTTCTAGTCCTCACTGTGGACTATGTTGTTAGCACGGACTCAGGTGTGGTGAAGAGGGGCTTGTTATAATAACAAAAGGTACTCCTGTTTCCAGTGACTCCAAGCATCTTTGATGCTCTGTGCAGATGCCAGGGAAAGATGAGATGTATTCTTTATCATAGCATATACCTTTGCTCTGAACTCTTCAGAGCCTTCTGACTGGTCCCCCTCCACCTAGGTCTGCTCTACACGCACTGAAAGATTAATCTTGCAGCAGCATCACTGCTTCTCAGAAAAGCCCGTTGCTGCCTATCACCAATAGAGTAAATTCAGGGAAGCGGGAGGGGAAGGGGAAAGGAAAGAAGGGAATGGAATTGATATGAGAAAATGAAAAAATGGAAACAAAGTCTTTATAAGTAGGGAGGGATGGGGGGGTTGAAGGGAGGGCAGGGGAAGGGGAAAAAATAAGAACCAAGACAGATTATGTAAAGGTGCAAATTTCCAATGATGAATGTCATTATATTGTATACCTCAAATGTACCAATAAAATTAATAATAAAAATAGTAAATGCAAACTACTCAGCCTGGCTTTCACACCATTTAGAAACAAGCTCCACCTGCCCCCAGGCCTGTCCTCATCTCCTGCCTGCCTTCTGAGGAGCAGAGGGCTGGTGCCTGCTCTTCCATGCTTCTGCTTGCCTTGAAGCATGCTGCTCCTGTCTCCAGCTTTTCAGTCCCTTTGTGTTAAAGGTTCACTGAGATGCTTTCTCCCTCTGCATTTCCTCGTCCTCCCCTGTCTGTGCTGCTAGATTTGGGTCTTTCTTCACTTCACAGCACTCCTCTCTCGTGCTGCTCAGGGTCTGCTTAATGATCTACATCACGGGGTACTCGGCTCAGCCCTTGAAGTAGATGGTAGTCACTTGGGGACCAAGATTTATGTGATTCCTTTTTGTTATTCTCATATACCTGGCACATCTTATGCAAGAACTTGGTCAACACTTGTTCAAAGGATTGTCCACTTGTAGATAATGATGTCTCGTCCTCTTTCAGAAACAAGTGGAAGCCAGTGTCTGTGTTACTATGGAGATGGTGAAAGATGCCTTGGACCAGCTTCGAGGTGCCGTGATGATTGTTTATCCCATGGGGCTGCCACCGTATGATCCCATCCGGATGGAATTTGAAGATAAAGAAGATCTGTCAGGAACTCAGGTGTGTAGTCCTTGGGTACTCTGGGAGGGTGAGTTCCCCAAAGCCCTTCAGGTTTGATTACTCTTAAGGATGTAGTTCTTGGATCACACTGCTTTCTTTGCTATCCCCTCTTTGAAAGCAGAGCTCGAATCCAGGAGAGGGCCTGAGAAGGTGGTACATGTGGCTGCAGGGTCAGCCCACACATAGAGAGGAAGGAGAAAATGTGTGAGGCTGCAGATGCAGTAATGAAACACATTTTCATTTTCTTTGGCTGCTAGCAAACCAAGAACTTGATTTGTGCTTATTTCTACCCAAATGTATGGGCCCCTGGCTTAATCATTTTCCCATTGCCGGGATGCAATACCCAGCACCCACAACTTAGAGAAAGAGAGGTTTATTTTGATTCATGGTTTCAGTCTGGCTCCAAGGCAGAAACGGGATGGCATAAGGCCCTGGCAAAGGAAAAGGTGGTCAACCCATGGCAGCCAGGAAGCAGAGAGAGAAGAAAGGAGCCAGGAATGAGAATACACCCTTCCAAGTCGTGCCCCTGTAACCCACCTCCAGACAGGCCCCTAACAGCAAGTCAGCTGTAGTGGCCCCTGATCCAGCTACCTCCCAAACAAATGGGACATTTGGAGGATATTTTAGATTTAAATCATAACATTCTGCCCCAGCTCCAAAAGACTCATGTCTAGCTAGGTGATTATGCAAGATGCTTTTAGTCCGTCTCTAAAAGAGTCATCAAAGTCTTAACAGTCCCAACTTTGCTAAAAAATCCAGGTCCAAAGTCCGTGAGACTAAAGGCAAACTCATAACTGTGAGCCAGTGTAACAATCAGAAAGTATTTCTAACATACAGTGGCACAGGATAAACATGCACATTCCAAAAGGGAGGAATAGGGGATAGAAGGGAATAGGACCAAAGCAAGACTGAAACCCAGCAGGTAAACATTAAATCTTGTCACTCCATGTCCAGCACCTGAGGCAGGTTATGGTTAGATGTGAGCTGCAAAGGGCTTGTGCATTGCCATCCCTGTAGCATTGCCAGTTGCAGCCCTCATGGCCTCTCTCTTTCTCTCTTTTTCTTTTTTTTTTTTGATACTGGGATTGAACTCAGGACCTTGCACTTGCAAGGCAGGCACAGTGCCACTGAGCTAAATTCCCAGCCCTCATGGCCCTTCTTTTATGGTGGCTCTGCCCACTTGCCTGTAGCTTTCCTCAAATGCTCCATGTTCCTGGCATCTCTAACTTCTGTAATCTCCACTCCACTTCCTGCTTCACTCATGGCTTCATGCACACTTAGGCACACTGCCTGACTTCCCAGGCCTTCTTCTGAAATTGGGGTGGAAGCTTCCATGACTCTGTAACTTATATTCTGTATGCCTGTAAAACCAACACCAAGGTCTGCCACCTGCTCAGACAGTAGCCAGGCCTTCTTGCATCATGGCTCCAGGGACCTCTGAGTTTCTGGATTGCTGAATACAATGAAATGAATCTTAGGGAACTAACTCCCTAGGCAGCCCTCTCCAATAGCAGCCCTCTCCAATAGCAGCCCTCTCAGCTGCCTTCTCAAATGAAAGCCTGCAGTTTTGGATTGTTAAGCCTGTGAAGGGTGAAGTCCTGCTGATTCCTGAAATACCTTCAAACTGTCTTTCTTATTGTCCTGATGTAAAGTATTCAGCTTTTTAAAATTCCAATCTTTTCAGCAACCATTCTCTCCTGTGTCCCAACTTTCCAGGCACTTCCTTTCTGATGAAACTGGAAACTTTCACATCTGCCTTTTGCTCCTCATTTTCACTGTAGATCTGGCTAAAAGTTGTCATCAGTACCTGTACCACAGCCTGAACATTGGGCTGCTTTCCTCCACCAGATTAATTTGTCTACCATCGTTAATCTCAGTCTTCTGCAGGGTCTCAGATCATGAGCAAAATGAAGACAAATGTTCGGCCAGGGTGTAACACACATAGCCTGTAGTATAGCTGTCAAGGGAGCCCTTGTTTCTAAAGATCCTGATCCTGACCTTTATTATCTGCATTTGTATGAGCATTCTTACCTTCCAAGCTCAGATCAAAATCTCCCATCAACCTCAGCTCACAGATCAGAGGGCTTCTCTAGCTGACATCTCCAAACCTTTCCAAACTCCTCCCACAAACCAGTTCCAAAGGCTTCTGAGCCACACACCCAGGTATAGTCATAGCAATGACTCTTAGCAGCAGGCAGTGAAATCACTGAGTTTAATCCCCAGCCTAGCAATGACTCTTAGTACCAAAATCTGTCTAGTCACTTTCCCATTGCTGGGACACAATACTCAACAACCAGCCTCAAGGAGAGGTTTATTTTGGCTCATGATTTTTGTCCATAGTCAGCTGGGTCCAAGGCAGCAGGACAGCAAGAAAAGCATAGCAGAGGAAAAGGTAGTCAACCTGTGGCAGCCAGGAAGCAGAGAGAGAAGAGAGAAGCCAGGGACAAGAATACATCCTTCAAGTTCACACCGCTGATGACCCACCTTCTTACAGCAAGTCAGCTTCGGTGCCCTGTAGTCCAGTCACCTTCCACACACATAAGACATCTTGGGACATTTTAGATCTAAACCATAACAGCCCCTTTGCATGGGATTTTGAGTTCCAGCCTTACCTCTTGCTTATACTGTTTTCTTGCTCTTAGTTTCCATTTTCCTTTGATGTTTTTCATTGATTCCTGTGCTTCTGGGCAGCATGTATTTCTTTTCCAATTCTTTTATTGGTACATTGTAGGTATACAACACAATTACATTTCTCAGTGGGAATTGTGCCTTTACATAATGCATCTTGGTTCTTATGTTTTCCCCATTCCTAGCCCTCCCTTCACCCCCTCCACCCTTCCCTATTTACAAAGACTTTATTTCCATTTTTTCCATTTCTCATCATTTGTCCTTTCCTTTCTTTCCTTTCCCCTGCCCCTCCCACTACCCCTACCCCTTTGGACCTTTTCTTCCTATTTTGCATTATCGATTATTTATTCTAATCATTGGTACATTTTAGGTATACAATATAATGGCATTCATCATTGGAAATTTGCACCTTTACATAATCTCTCTTGGTTCTTATTTTATCCCCCTTCCCCTGCCCTCCCTTCAACCCCTCCATCCCTCCATATTTACAAAGATTTTGTTCCTATTTTTCCAGTTTCTCATATTAATTCCATTCCCTTCTTTCCTTTCCCCAGCCCTCCCACTTCCTTCCCCTTTGCCCCTTTTCTTCCTATTTCACATTACCTATTATACGTTTTAGTCCTTATTTAACATGTATTTCTTTAAGCCATGCTGAGTACCTGGACTATGCAGCAGCAAACAGCCCCATGATGCCTCCATTCTGACACCCAGCAGGATTCCAGTGTTCTCCATGGCAGTAGCCCCCAAATCCATCTAAGAGACCTTACATTATGGATGAGGACACAGAGGAGTAGGGTGCTCCCCATTCCCCCAGGCACGAAGTTAACTGAGTCAGTGCTCAGGACGTGAGTTGAAATGAACAGGGGCAGTACTGAAAACTTCAAGAACTTTGAGTGAGGTGGGGAATAGAAGGAGACGCAGAGGGAGAGCAGGATGCCAGAAGCCTGGCCCCTGCCAGGAAGGCTACCGGCCGTGCTCTGTGACCCCATTCTTATTATCCCTCAAGTCTGTTCTTACGCTTGGCCCCAGGCAGGCCTCAGCGTCATTAAAGAATCAGTGGCACAGCTGTGGTGGGCAGCCAAGGAGTTAAGAAGAACAAAGAAGCTTTCAGACTACGTGGGAAAAAATGAAAAAACCAAAATTATTGTCAAGATTCAGCAAGTAAGTATTTTTCTTTAATATGTTAGTGTTTTTTGTTTGTTTGTTTGCTTTTGCAATACTGAGGGTAGAAACCAGGGTCTTGAGCATGTGAGGCCAGTAATCTAGCACTGAGCTGCACCCCTAGCCCCACATGTGTGTATTTTTATCTTCAACTGGATGAAAATTTACAGTGAATCCAAATGATATAAACTACACATGCCAATACTTTAATGCTATTGGCTCTGGCTAAAAGTAAAATTGCCCTCTCTATGTGCACCAACAAAAACTGGAAGAAAACATGGCTTGATTAGCAATATGTGGAATTTGTTTTAATTCACGAAGGAGGCAGAACTTGCCGTGTTAATTTCAATGTAAGAAACAGAGTTATGAGTAAATAAAAATATTTCTTAAAGTAAAAAGTACGGCCCAGAGCACTAATTTCAAGTTTTTCCACACTGCTAGTGCTCAGCCAATGAAGAGGAAGGGCTAGAGCCCTTTCAAGAACGTTACATAGGGCTTTCTACCTGCGAGGCTGCCCTGGCTTTATGTGGGTTCCTTGGTAATTTGAGGGAACAAGGAACAACACCGCTGCCTGGCTCCAGAGCCTATGGCTCTGAATGTCCTCCCGTCCCACTGACCCTGCAGTGGCTGCCTTGAGAATGTCTGTGACAGAAGTGGCATCTTGCAGCCTCTGGTCTTCATCCACCTGAAGTCCAGAGCGAGGACACTGCTCAAGTCCGAGGGTCCCCTTGATAGGAACTTGGGATCATCGGATCATTGGATATGGATGACCCAGCTGTCCTCAGCAGTCAGCAGAGGCAGTTGTAAAGCCTTTGATGTAACTTCCTGGCTTGTTAGCTGCAAGAATGCCTCAGTCCATAATTTGCTCTCACCTTCCTCTTTGCAGCGGGGACAGGGAGCGCCAGCCCGAGAACCTATCATTTCCAGTGAGGAGCAGAAGCAGCTGATGCTGTATTATCACAGGAGACAGGAGGAGCTCAAGGTAGCTCCCGGGTGGTGTTGGTGCCCACAGAGCTGGTGCTTGGGGTGTGTACCCCAGGTCTTACCCCAGGGCTGAGAGCAAGGGGGCAGGGGGGATCTGTGGGATGTCAGGGGAGGGGTCTTTCCAGAGCTTCTGCCTCTCCAGGACCGTCCGTCCCCGGTGGCAGACTGGAAGCACCCTGCCCTGGGAGTGCAGGGAGGGGCGGTCAGCCCAGAATTTTTTTCTTCAGTCGCTGTGTGCAAAATACTTTCCTGAAATCTTTCCTGAGTAAAGCATATTTATTTCCAGAAATTGGAAGAAAATGATGACGACTCCTGTCTAAATTCCCCATGGGCAGATAACACTGCTTTGAAGCGACATTTTCATGGGGTAAATGACATAAAGTGGAGACCAAGATGAACCAGCTGATGAAGATTTCAAAACTCCTAGGACACTTTCCTTGCCGGCAAAATAGTTAAAATAATAAAAGACACCAAGCTCTCTCTACAAGACATGTTGAAATTTCTATTTTCCTAGTTTTCTTTTAGTTTGAATTTTTAAAATAACAGTCACTCACTTTTTTTTTTTTTTTGGTACCGGGGATGGAACTCTGGTCCTTGCGCTTGCGCAGCAGGTGGCGAAACTGCTGAGCTAAATCCCTGGCTCCTGTCACTCACTGTTTTAGGATTTCATATATAATATCCTCAAAAGAAAATGCCTAAATTATTTTTGTTTTAGGATGGCTATGTAGTATCTCACGGTTTTCTTTGATAAAATAGTAAAGATTAACTACAACCATTTTTTCTTCCTGATTTCTGTTTTTATATTTTATGGCAACTGCTGTGTGTGTGGGAGGAAAGCTGAAAGCCTCTCTTCATAGCAAGTCCACTGTCTGATGTGGGACTTGGCCATCGGTGGCCACTAGAGACCGCCAGCCACCCACTTGTCTTGGTACCGGGGATCAAGCTCGGATCCTTGCGCTTGCGCAGCAGATGGTGAAACCACTGAGCTAAATCCATGACCCTTGTGCATTTCTTCTTAATCCTCCCTTTAGCTGAACTGAATGAAGCTAAATTCTCAATACTGTCGGAGAGATTTGGGTACCTGCGGTGCAGAATGTCACTGCAGCCAGGCAGCTTCCAGCCTCCAAGATGAAGTTCACCTCCTGGTTGGTGCCTCAATGGTCTTGTCTGCCAGGGGGAAAGGCCACCTGTGATGGAAGTTGGTAGCCAGATTGGTCTAATTGATTCTGATTGGAAACAGATTCTGCCGGAATTTCTCAGACTTTGAAGTCTCCTCCTCGGAACAGATCCTGAAAAGTAGGCCCTGGTAAAGGGCAGCTCTCATTGCACTGAGTTTCGCATCCCTGGGGACTGACAGCATCAGGCACAGGCAGTGACCGTACAGAGACATATGGTCACCCATCATCCTTCTGTCATCTTTTGGTCTTCAGTACTGCAGTAGGTCATCCCCACAAACATTCAGACAGCCTGCGGACCCTGACAGGTCGGCAGGTGAAGTGCCCGAAGGCTGCCCCGCCAAAGCTAGAAGTGACCTGGAAATTCATCGTGCTTGTCTCTGGCCTCCAGGATATGCTTCTGTTGGTTACAGGAAATGGTTTAGTACGTGGGTATTTCCCTGCACTGGCCTTCCTGCACCCCTCCCCTGCCTCCTGCTCCAAGCTCCCCACTCTGCCACCGCCTCGAGTGCAGGTGGCCTGGGTCCAGGATCCCAGATCCAGTCCTGTTGTACGGATGGTGGGACCGGCCACTTGCCCCCTCTGCTGGTCTATGTGGGTCAGAGGGAGTAAAATTTAACACAGCCACAAGACCTGCTGAGACTGGGCTCCTAGCAGCGGCTGTAGCAGAAGTGAGCACCGAACTCCCAGAACGTTTGGCCACCTGCCCTTCCTTCTTCCTACCCTTCTTGACTCCACCTCCGAATTGCCATGTTTCTTGGAGTAGCTGTCCCAGAGCCCTCTCCTACAGCGTTTTCTAGCTGCTACGCGTAGTTATGTCTTACCTGTTGGTTTGTCAAATTCGTAAAACAAACTTGCACGTATTTTCTCTTTTACTTTGGTTAAAATTTTAAATGTCTCCCTGAAAAGTTTTTGGACTCGGATGACATAAAGCTTACTGTATGAACCTCGGATTTGATTTGAGGCATATTCTAACGTTGCTGGTGTATAGTTTATATGCCTAAGATTCATGCTCAGACATGCAAAAGAAGATCACCAAAAAGCACATGCCCCCATGTGTCTTGTAGAACCGCCACTCATGTCATTAGAAATTCATAGTGACTAGATTCAAGTGGCCATAACAGTTACTGTGTTGCTCTGAGTGATCGATGCAACGTAATAACCGGAGTCGCTGACTTCTGAGTGAAGAACTCACTGGATTTCCACCATCACATTCCAGCCCTTTACTGAACACTCACAGTCCGGTCCCTGCCCTTCTCTGCCTCGAAACCCCCCTAGCACTAAGTTTCTGAAGGCAGCTGCTCCGTGGGGTTGAGGATGCGAGCAGCACCTTCTCCAGCACCCACAAAGAACAGGAGAGACACGGGCCTGATGCTGCTCTGTGCGCACCATGCTGGGTGTGGATTCACGTTGCAGCCAGCCTCTGACTGCAGGGTCCTGTGGCTAGGGATGGGACAGCCAGGACGTGCCCAGGACTTGCGAGAAGTCAGCTTATCTGCAAAAGTTGGCTTACTGGTGGCAGACTGTCAGCTAAAGTATGTGGTCTTGGTGGGTTTTTTTTTCTGTTTTTAATCTAGTGTGTCTTTAGGTCAATACCAAGAGGAAGAGAAGTGGCGGTGGTTATATGTGGTACCCCTGTGGGTCTGAGATTGGGTCTTTTGGCCTGACTTCTCTTCTAATTTGATCATTTCACGGAGCCTGAGAATGCTAGTCATGAAATTTGACACCACTTTAAATGCTTTCAACTAACACTGACAGCATTGAGTAGTATTTCTGTCATATGATTACTTGGCAACTTTGCTGCAAAGAATGTGCCATCAAGCTTGAAATTAAGTGCCGCATCTTTCGAGATGAGCTCAGAAGCCTGGGGGTGGGGAGTCCCCAGCCTTGCAGAATTCCTGTCCAGAGGCCTCAGCAACTGCCCTTTCAGAGAGGCGATGAGAGAGGTCAGCTGGCCCCGGGAGGCGCCACTCCACGTTGCTGAGAGTTCAAGGAGAGATGTGGCTGACGCCGTGGGGTAGTGGTCATCAAGACTTCACTATTGCCTGGACAGGTGTACCAAGCGCTCTACTGTGGGTTTTTTTCATTTTTACCTCCTCATGGCCAAATAAGGAAGAATCTACCATTGTTTTTCACAAGTGAGGAAAACAAAGCCCAGAAAGGCTAAAGTGCCCATGGAAGCATCTGAGCCTGCTGTGAACTGACTGTGCTTCCGCTCACACCTAAGAGAGACTCTGACCCACGAGTTGATGAGCAGGGCAGGGCGCACATCCATGGGTCCACGAACACATGAGCCCCAGCCCAGGGCAGCCTCCCCAGAGTGGGCAGAGGTGGCCTTCGGTGTTGTCAGTGTCTGGGCCAACAGCCACAACTTGAGGTTCTAAGAGCCCACTTCAGTGGGTGTCCCCGTCTACTGTGACAGCAGGCTGTAGACAGCCTTCTACAGCACAGGCTTTTATTTCTCAGTTCTAGAGGCTGGGAGTCCAAGCTCCAGGTTCAGGCTTGGTACCTGGTGGGGGACGCTCCCCACTCTGCTTCCTGGACAGCTATCTCCCTGCCCTCACAGGGTAGAAGGGGTAAGGGAGCTTTCTCAGGGCCCTTTTGTAAGGGCGCTGATCTCTCATTCAAGAAAGCTCTACTCAGGACCAAATCTCTTTCCAGTGCCCCTCCTCCGAATCCCTCATGTTGGAGATTAGGTTTCACCACAAGAGTGGGGACATAGATACTCAGTCCATAGCGGCTCCCCAACCACTGCAAGGAGGAAAACACCTCCCCCTGCCTTTGAGGTGCTTAAGCAAAACTCAGCACTGGATTCAGCCCTAAACACCCGAAATATAAAAAGGTAAAAGAATGTGTCTGGGGTTAGGTCCTCGCTGCTTCTGGCCCTCCACAGGCAGGTCATGGGATTCCAGGTCCCTCTGGCGTGTCTCAGAGGTCAGCGGATGGACAGATTTCCAGACTAAACCTGCCTGCCATTACCCCTTAGATAGACGTCTATGATATTTGGACACAGGAAGCACCAGCTGTGGCTGTCTTGCTATTCCAGTAATGAGACAGCATCCTTATGAAATGCAGAATGCAGAGACCAAGAAGCCCACTTGGAGTTTATTAACCAAATCCTTGATCTTATAGCTAGCTCTGACAAGGGGCAGCATTGCTGGCAGTCACATAACTATAGCTTTGTTGCTGCATCTCTCAGTACTGGGGCTTGAACCCAGGGCTTTCACACTGAGCTACACCCCCAATGCTTTATTTTAGTTTTTATTTTGAGACAGGGTCTCACTAAGTTGCCCATCAAACTTTCAGTTCTCCTGGCTCTGCCTCCCAGAGTGCTGGGATTTCAGGCCTGCACCACCACACCCAGCATAACCCTCTTGAATGTACCTACAACACCAGCTCAAATGATTTAAACACACTCTAGATTTTTCCATGGCTCATTGAGACACGCCAATGTGCTGTAGTGACCAAGTGGGTGCAAGTTTGAGGATTGTGACAGTGGCCCCTGGTCCTCTGTTATAGCATTGTAAAGCAAGATGAAGGCCTGCATGAGTGACATGGGAGATGTAACTCTGGGGTCTAAGTGTTTGTGGGCTCCCTCACCTCCCTCTCTGCCTACTTAGTGCCCCCATCCCACATCCAAAACAGAGCAGGAAGACACAATAGCAGTATTGTTCCTCAGAGTCCTCATTTCTTGTTATCTTATTTGCATGTTGCTGGAATGGATCTCATACATAGCTTCTGAGCAAAATATAAAATGCACTCAAGGCCCTTGCTCTCAGCATCCTGTGTCATGGCCAAGTCACTTTGGATTGCACGAGTAAAAGGAAGGATGATTCAAAAATAAGGGCATTAATAAACAAAATCAGAACCCCCAAACTGAGTCTGACTACTTGACTTACAAAATGAACTCAACTCACCTGAACAAATGTTTAGCTTTTCTCGAAACTGTTTCCAGGCCCCAGGACTCTTTGCATGTTTTTATACAACAACATCTCATTGTGTAGTTCAGGCTGGCCTTAAAGCCACTGTGGAGCCCTTCCTGCCTCAGCCTCCCAAGTGCTGAGATTACAGGTGTGTGCTGCCACACCTGGTCATGCTTGGCATTTCTACAGGTAGTTTGCACTCAACTGCAAGGGAGTTTTCCAGATGTGGGAGCTCTTGATTTTTCTGTAGGAAGTAAATATGATTTCAGCAACTGGACGTAGGATTTTGATAGATGTATGTTAAAGGAACTCACAAACTGACAAACATGTCTAGAGAGTAAATTTAATTTGAACTGTTCAGCTTTGACTCAAACTGTTCAACTATATTGGAAAATTCTCCATGCATTGAGATGGAGGAAAAAGAAAGGAAACTTTACTGGGGTTACATTTTTTAAAAAATAAGAAAGAGAATTTCAGAGAGTGTGAACATCTCATTCTCTTTTTTTTTTTGGTACTGGGGATCGAACTTGGGTCCTTGCGCTTGCGCAGCAGGTGGTGAAACCACTGAGCTAAATCCCTGGCCCTCTCTTATTCTTTTAAAAAATAAACTGTTAAGACTGAGTTGTGCCCCTCCATAATTTGTATGTTCAAGCCCTAACCTTTAGGATATGACTGAATT